CAGAACAATTTATGCTTCCAGTGCTGCACTTGTTTGGTAGGATCTTAAGGAAAAGTTTGACAAGATAGATGGCTTTAGGGTTTATTTTTTGCATCATGAAATTGAAACTTTAACTCAGAGAAGATGACTGTTTCTTTTTATTTCAATCGTCTTAAGCTGTTGTGGGATGAGTATCGTACTCTCATTCCTCTCACAACTTTTGAATGTGAAATCTATAAGCAGAATTTCAAGCACACGATCCGACAGAAGCTTTTTCAGTTCTTGATGGGTTTCAATGAGACGGACTCAGCGATCCGTTGTCAAATTTTGATTATGTAACACTACCTAGTATTGTTCCCTTTGCTCAAAAGGAATCCCGAATGCACAGTTATTTGGTATTGTTCCCTTTCCAAAGATTGCAGTCATGCTTTCCTCTTCTGCTAATAATTTGGATCGTAGGAGGTTCAATGGGGTTTGTGATTTTTGTAAGATTCGTGATCGAAAGCGTAAGAGCTGTTATCTACTCATTGGATATCTTACAGACTTTAAATTCACGAGGAAATGAGGTACTGCTATGTCTAATAATGCTAAGGTCTGTGATTCATCCGATTCTGATCCTAAGGTAGATTTCAGTGTTGCACCTGCTTCGCCTTTGTCAGCTGACACACCTTTCTTTACCAAGGAACAATACGACCAGATACTGAATCACTTGAATAAAGCTCCTGCACAGGATTCAACTATTAGTCTGGCAGGTATTGACTCTTATTGTCTTTCTATTTCAGACAACTCACCTCATTGGATTCTAGATACATGTGCTACAATCACATGATATCGGTTTATCAGGGTTTAAAATCTCCAATTTCATTCTCTTCTGATTCACATTTTGAACACCTCCCGAACGATAATACTGTATCTGTCAATTCCATAGGGTCTCATGTTTTCAAGTTTGGTCGTACTATTTCAAATGTTTTTTTAATTCTAATTTTTAAGCACAACCCGTCTTAGGGAAATGATGACATGCGACAGTCTTAATATACAGTTAAAAAAAGGTGTTACCGGTTTTGTTATTATTTAAATAACAAAACCGGTAATAAATTACCGGAAACATTATTATTTATACCAGTTTTGTTATTATTGGGAATTTTTGTTATTTTTTCTACCGGTTTTGTTATTGTTGGACACTTTACCGGAAATGTTAAAAAACATTGATGTTTTAGGTAAAAATAACAATGTTTTAGGTAATTTTTTTACCGGTTTTGTTATTTAAATAATAACAAAACCGGTAACGTCTTTTTTTAGTTATATATTAAGGATGCCGCAATATAGAACTTCCTTCCGCTTTCTGTTTCAAAATTGACCAGATATCTCAGCTCTTCAATTAGTTTTTTCCCTGATTTCTGCGTTTTGCAGGGTCTTTCCAATGGAAGGACTTGGTAGAGAACAAAATGACATACCTGTTTGATTCATCAAGTCTTGATTCTGGTTTTTCCACATCTGCTTATTGCACTTCCTCTTTTTCTTTTCCATAAAAATAGACTTTGTTATCTCACTATTGTATGAGCAGTTCTCTGCATAATAAAACAAACCTTTGGCATGCTCGTTTGGGGGTATGTTGCCTCTTGTAAACTGTCTAAAATAGATTTTCTTAAGTCTCATACCTTTAATACTCATACTTTACATAATTGTGATATCTGTCACATAGCCAAACAAACCAGATTACCTTTTTCTCTTAGTCTTTCTAGGTCAAGTGATCCCTTTAATTTCCTTGTCAAATTTTGGGGTGAGTGTATCGAGACAACCTGCTATCTTGTTAACAGGTTACATTATTCCATTATTTAAGATAAAAGCCTTTTTGAGATTCTTTATGAAGAAAAATCCCAATCTACCCCATTTGAGAATTTTTAGTTACCTCTGTTATGCAACACAAACAAAATTTCAAGATAAATTTTCATCAAACGCTATTCCATCAGTCCATATGGGTTAATCTTCTACTCAAAAAAGGTACATCCTTTTTAATCTTGAAGCAAAAGTTTTTTTTGTTAGTAGGGATGTTCGTTTTCATAAAACTATTTTCCCTTTTCACTTTCCAATAAAATAAACTTATTCTTTTTCCCCTTACAACATCATTATCCTGATTTTGAATTTTTACATCTTCCTTCTACCTCTTCATAACCTCCTTCATCACCATTGGTTCTCCCTACCGATTCTTCTTTACTTGGGGTATCTCTCATAGTTCTTTTTTCTTCTACACCTGTTAATTCTTATATCTTGGCTATAGTCTCTCCCACTGTCAATTCTTCACCGGTTCCTTCCTTGCTTGCTTATGTTCCCACTGCTTCAACTAGTGCACCTATTTCACCAGTTCAACCGATTGTTCTTCCTCAAACCAGAAAGTTTGCCAGAACCTTCAAACCACCAAACTAGTTACATGACTATGTATGTTCTTGCCAATCTTCATCTCCTTCAGGTCAGTATCCTATTTCTAAACAGCTTTCTTATTTTCATTAACCACCACATACATAGTCTTTTCTAACTTCCACTTCTTTTTTAATTAAGCCAAAAACTTACTTTCAAGCCATTAAAAATCTAGTTTGGGTCAGAACCATGGAAAATGAAATTCTTGCCCTGGAATTAAATAATGCTTGGTTTGTAGTTCATTTACCTCCAAGCAAGTCTCTAATTGGTTGCAAATACGTTTTTTGAATCAAGCATAAAGCAAATGGGGAATTGGAGCGTTATAAACCTCGCCTTGTAGCTAAAGGGTACATTTAAAGAGAAGATGTAATATACTTTCTCACCTGTGGCCAAGATGGTCACTGTTAGAACTGTTTTGTCCTTAGCTCCCATCTACAATTGGCCTCTCTATTAAATTGATGTCTTCAATGTTTTTCTTCAAGGGGACTTAGTTGAAGAAGTGTATATGACTTTACTTGAAGGTGTCTACAACGAGGGAAGTCTCAGGTTTACAGGCTGTAATCACTACAAGTTACCAGCAAAGCAAGCAAGACTACTCTCTTTTCACAAAGAATGAAGGTATTAGATAGTTATAATGCTCATTTATGTAGATGACTTAATCATCACTAGAAACGATGACAATTTGGTTGCATAATTGAAAGAAATCCTAAATCAAAATTTTAAGATGACATATTTAGTAAATTTGAAGTTTTTTCTAGGATTGGAAATCTTGAGATCCAAGGAACGAATCCTCCTTAATCAAAGGAAGTATGCTATGGAATTAATTGAAGATAGTGGAACTAAGGGAGCTAAGCCTGTTCTAACTCCTCTTGAGTAGAATAAAAAGTTCACAAGAATAGAGTATGACCAAGGCATAAAGAAAGAGAGTTAGGATGAGATCTTGCAACATAAATCTATCTTCCATAGAATGATAGGAAGGCTGATTTACTTGACTCATACTAAGCCATATATAGCCTATGTTGTCCATCATTTGAGTCAATTTATGCAATAACCAAAGAATAGTCACCTTGAAGCAGCCCTTAGGACAATCAAATATGTTAAGGATAATCCTGGACAAAGTATCTTGTTGAGTTCTTCAAGTACATGTGAATTGATTGCTTAATGTGATTCTGACTAGGCCTCTTTCCCCATGACAAGAAAATCTATAAGAGGTTTTTGTGTTAACTTAGGTGCTTCACTGATTTCTTGAAAAGCTAAAAAACAGAACACGGTGGCCAGGCCATCTGCTAAAGTAGAGTATAAGAGTATGGCTGAAAACTTAACATCGACCTTGAAATTCAAGTCTATTAGGAATCTATACTATTGCATTATTATTCTCTCTCTATATATGATATCTATCTTTGATTTCAATATTTTTTATTAATTTCAGTATCACAATGCAAAGCAAAGGGTGCATTCACTACAACAAAAATGTTCTTTAGCGGCGTTTTTTAAGTATTATAGCGGCGTTTTTTTAAGTATTATAGCGGCGTTTTTAAGCGCCGCTAAAAGCACATGCGGCGATAGCAAAAACGCCGCAAGAAGCGCCGGCAATACCAGCGTCGCTAAAGTTAGCGGCGTTTGTGGAAAAAAAAACGCCGCAATAGGTCGAAATCTATAGCGGCATTTTTTGAGAAAACGCCGCAAAAGGTCTGATCTATAGCGGCGTTTTTGGAACAAACGCCGCAATAGGTCGAGATCTATAACGGCGTTTTTATAGAAAACGCCACAAATTGTCGGATCTATAGCGGCGTTCCAAAAATGCCGCAAAAGGTCAGATCTATAGTGGCGTTTTAGGAACAAACGCTGCAGAAGGTCGAGATATATAGCGACGTTTTTGGAATAAACGCCGTAAAAATTCAGATCTATAGCGGCGTTTTTGGATGCAAACGCCACTAATTATCGTTCTTGTTCTAAGATTAATTTATATTTTGCATATTTCATTTCTTCTCTACATCACCTAAATTTATTATCATGTAGCTTTATCTAATTGATATCAACCATAAATTTAAACAAAATAAATTAAAATTTATAAACATTAAAATTAAAAGTAATGTAGTTTGATATTGTTCTCTAGAATTTAGTCTAGCTACTTTCACTTTCAATTAAAAAAAATATTATTCACTAGAAATTCACCAAATAAATCCCCTAGCTCCGGTTCACCAAGAAGACTCCTTGCGCGCTTCAATGCTTCACTTGAAATAGATAACGAAGTAGCAAATTGTTTCTTACATGCATCGTATGAGTCTTCCCACTGCTTGTCACGCCATAAGCAAATATGGTGTCTGTGAACAAAATTTAACACTGTAAAATAAAAGAACAAGTTTTGAGAAAATACAAATTAAACGCCATAACTTTCGATATCAACCCACAATTTCTGATGCAAAACTGTGAGTACTATTCAGAGAAGGCCAAAGCATAGGATACCTAAGCAATTAAATCGTTCCAGAAATCTAAACTAAGTTTTCCTATATTAAAATGGCCTTCCTACAAAGTGATTATGATGTGGAATCCTGAATGGGGAAGCCATTAAATAAACATCATGCTACAAGCATAAAATAAAAACCTCACTTCTGAAAGAAAGAAACCTGTATAATATCCTTAGGCCAACGTGTTAAAACTGCTTCAATGAACTCATCAATAATTGATAGATACTTTTCCCCTTCTAACCTAGGTTGTCTTAGTCCTAAATCTGTACAAACCCAAAAAAAAAGTCAAAAGAAACTTAACAATATGTTAAAAAAAGTAACAGAAAGCATTTCATATGTTCCAGTCTATGCAGGGAATAACTACATAAGAACAAAGTAATTAAATACATTTTTTACTCACAAAGTGGGTTGTCAATTAGCTTTAGATTGTTAGTACCAACATCTACCATAACTGGGTGTATCTGTCAAAGACATATTGATTGAATTATTAAAGTTATAACACAAGAAAAGAGAGTTGCCATGTCAAAAAAAAGTTGAAAATGTAAAATACAATAATAACAGGGAACAAATATTTACAGGTAGATATAAACCAAATAGTTGCAAATAAGCTCACATGCATATAACAGAGAGCTTCAACTGATGGTTAAACATATCAAATACAACCAACATCCCAACACAAGTATGAAAATGGTCGCAAATGGTTAAACTTCCCAAGCATACACATAAAAAATTCTTACCTTTAACTCGTCTCTACGTACAAAATGCTGCTGATCACCCCTTATCCTGCATAACGATAAACAGATTCCATCGATCATCACTTCAGCACCTTAAACCCTATTGTTTGAAGCTCAGATGAAAATGATGGATTTTGTTTCAAGCAGGAAGATTAAAGGATTATGAATAAGAATATTTCGACAACCAGGAAAGGCAAGGATCATACGTGTCAAGAATAAGACGTTCATAAGCTTCTGAGATCGTAACACCTTGATAGTGTTGCCTGTATGAAAAATCCAGTTCACTTTGCACCGTTGAGAACTCCAGACCAGGCTGCTTCACCTACAACATAAGCAAAATGCAAATCAATATACATGCATAAAGATCTTGCAATAAATTATAGCAACGGTTTCCTAGCTTAAACTAAAAACGCAGGATCCTGACACTAATGGTTGGCTGCATGAGCAGTTTTCGTAGAACACCACTTCGAATATCAGTAAATCTAGAACATCGATATGGATGTTTCTAAATATGATAAAATGAAGAAGGGGCATCAAGTATTCAGGATTGGTTCTCAACAGTGCCTAAAGGTTTCCACAAGGAGAATCGGAACATCTGCATGATTGACAACTGAAGATTTACGATTATGTGAAAAGGTAACCGTTGGTTCTGAAATATATGTTCAAATTTAGGACAAAAATAGCAGAACTTATTGATTTCTCTTGATGCATAAAGGAAACTCTACAAGCAGGAAACTCTGCATACATGGAAATTATAGCTCTAATAGCTTTCAGATGGATACGATGAGTTAAGTGAACTCACTGTTAGTTTCATGTACATCTCTTCATAAGGTTGCAAGCGTATGATAAACTTATTTCTCCCTTGCTTTTGACCTAAATAAAATGTCAGAATACTTCAAAAGAGTTGCAGCTCTACTAAAACAAGCAATCATATAAATGAAGTTCCAAATAATCTTATAGATCTACTGTCATACATTGGAATATATCCCCAAGAACCTCCTTAAATTGAATGTGTATCTCCGCCTTTCTTGAATTCAAAGCTTTCCTTGCCTTTAGTATAAATGGAACACTTGACACAAATCAATCAGTGGAATTAGAAAATCCAGTGAGAAGCTCAAATTAAATTTATGCTTCGCTTGATCCAATGGAAAAGCACACAAACCAGTGACCAACAGATTTTCAGACATGGAAAGATAAAGTAACATCAAATTACTAATGAGTTGTTAAGGTTTTCCAGGGCTGAGGCACCAAAAAGAGATTTTTATGAGAGAAAATAACAAATGGAAAGATACAACTATACTACCTTCCCATCTTTCATTATGTAAACGTAGAATAACAGTTGCAAATGTAGAATAACGATATCATATTGTTTCATCTTGGAGACTGCTCCAAGCAGATGGTTGAAAGCCACAATTGAGGGCAAGTTTCTCATTAAAATCATGAAATTGAAAAAACCCAGAGCTTCATCAAGCTCAAAGGATCTCGATTTACACTTATCTATGACCAATGTCTCCAGATGGGTGGGTTTAGACATACCCATATTCACATTTTCAACAATTTCTCTACAAGCTTCAAAACCCGACTTTCTAATATGAAAACCCCAATCCTGTAACAGAATCTGACATGATAATTTTACAAACCACTTAAAGCTTATCTCAGTACTGATCTATTTGTTACTAAACATACTATAAGCTATAGTCATTTCTAATTTATAGCAAAACTTAATAAGAATTAAGGATGAATTATAGATAAACTGTAAGCATTTTTATTTCCAACGCAAGCTAAAATCACTAAAAAATAAACAAATCAAGCCAATAATTTTAACCACTTCCATAACCTGAAATGAGCATATAAAAAAACCCTAAAATATAGTAAAATTTACTAACCAGGCCTTTCAGGATTCAAATTGGTTTGACGAAGAGCCATTTTGCCAAAAGAAAAAATAACATTCAAGCAAGAGCGAAACCAATCAACAAGAGCAGAAGTAGCGCGAGCGAAACCAACAATCAGTTTCCAAAAGAAAAAGAGAGGTAAAAACCCTAATTTGAAAGAGAATAAAAATTCGTATAACTAATTAGATAGAAAAAATAGTTTTAGAATTTACAGATGGAGAGCCTCGAGGAACTTGTTGTTCGGGTTCAGTCCAGTTCCCTCTGGACTTATATCTCATTTTACTTTTGGTCTAAATGTATTGGGAGCAACCCAAAGCAGTGGCACGGGAGGCAGAGCACTAAGAGAGGTGTAGTGGTGGTGAAGCAGGAAATTTGAATTAAGTGGTGGTGAAGTAGAGAGGGAAGAGAGAAGATAGAACATTTTTATTTTTCAGAAAGGGAGGGAGCCAGAATGAAAAAATAGGTGAAAGGGAAAACATGAAAAAGGATGCGGGAATTGTAAACTTTAAACTTTAGCAGCATTTTTAAACACAAACGCCACTAAAGTATGAGTCTATAGAGGCGTTTGTATAAAAATACCGCTAAAGAACGTATTTATAGTGGTGTTTGAATAAAAACGCCACTAAAGTACGTGTCTATAATGGCGTTTGTATAAAAACACCGCTAAATTACTACTCTTTTGCGGTGTTTGTATAAAAAACGCCGCTAAAGTACTACTCTGTTGCGTCGTTTGTTAAAAACGCATAATATATGAACCCTATTACGGCATTTTTATAAAAACGCCGCTAAAGTACTACTATGTCACGGAGTTTGTTTAAAAAATGCCACTATGGATGAAACTATTGCGGCGTTTGTATAAAAACGCCACTAAAGTACTACTCTGTTACGGCATTTTGTATAAAAACGCCACTAAAGTTACTATTTTATGGTGTTTGAAGTGTAAACGTCGTTATATGTTTAAAGTTAGTGGCGTTTACTCTCAAAACGCCGCTAAAAACGCCGCTGTATAACAGTTTTGCTGTAGTGATTGTTTGTCCCAACAAACATTTCACAAGTGGTTGACAAGTGAGAAAAATGACAAGTTTAACGTTAAGTGGTGTCACAAGTGGTTAATAAGTGAGAAAAATGACAAGTTTAACGTTAAGTGGTGCAAAATACACAACTCTTGATTTTTTGTCTACTAGGTAACCCTTTTACAAAGATCAAACCTGCTTGCAATGAAATCTCACTCTATATCTTCCTTTTCTCCAAATATATTTCTAGTCCTATAACTCCTAGACCACCATATACGTTACGACTAAATCTAATGGATTACAAAAAATTCTCCAAAAAATTCTTTAATACTTTAAAATCATAATATGATAAAAACGATAATAAAAACGTAAAATATGACAAGTAATATAAATATCACATAACCAGTATTGAAGTAACTAAGACATCAGTAGTAAAGTAAAGTACGTTATAACACATATATTTCAAATATAGGCATATGCCACTGGAAAAAAGGTAATCGGGAATGAACTCATCTCCCGTATCTCCAACTAGAGTGGCACGACTCTTCTTAAAGCACTCTTGACTATGGGCAGGATCATTTGCCATAACTCATGCGTTTCCAAGAAACAGAAGAGTCAACATTGCCATTTCTAGACATTTAAGTACACTTGACACTCTAGAGGCATGTACTTCATTGACACCTAACAACTCTAACATGTGGGTTATAGGAAAGATTGACACTGACACTCTGATACCACTAAATGTTACACACTAATCCAATCCGATCCGATCTGAAATTCGGAGGATTATAATATTAAACAGAACCGCGCTAACCTTTTTTATTTTTCTGAAATCATTAGACACATTCATACATTCAAACACGTTAAAATACCAAATATAATATGTTTACAAAAATACGAGGGAGCTCTCGACAATAGTCTCCAAAATATATAAGTTAAAATAAAGTTACGAATCAATATGACAATAGGGTCTATGAGAGTATATGCCCATTATAATGACTCGATTCTGGTGGGTAGTCAAGTTTGAGGGTACTTCAGGTAAGATAGGGGTCTCAAAGCATCATCATCTTACTATACCCTAGGCTAGATCCAGGTCATATAGCTTTTGCACCTTGCCAAGCTAGTATACTCCTCTCGAATACTCGAGATGCATCTAGGTCAATTATCGTCAGTACAACATCCAACTAGTGGTTCGAGTGCCTTAGCACTAGATTGGATATATATGGATAACCTTTATTCTACAACACATTCAACTTACAAGTAACTTGTATATCTTTATCATTTTTCGAGCATCAAACATAAAAGTATCAATACTCCTACATGGGTATCGATACTCCTCTTCCTAAGTTATTGGTATTTCCCCTAGTATCGATATCGAAATTACATTCGATGTTTTGGAAATTTTGATTTGTATCGATACTCATCGTGAGAGTATGTATACTCCTCCTAATTGTCGATACTCTCCCTAAGTACCGATATCAAAATTGCCTTCGATGTTTTGAAAAGTACCTCGGTACCGATACCCATACTATGAGTATCGATACTCTACCCTCAGTATCGATACTCCCATGAGTATCGAAACCAAAATTGGCTACTGGAATCTGACCAAGTTCCGAAGTATCGATACTAGGCTCTTCAGTATCGATACATAATGAGAAGTTTTGATACTCCATAACTGAATATTAATACTCTCCTCATAATCCCTTTGAATTTTTCCCATTCACGATGAGTAGTGTTGGTACTGTACTGATACACTCAACCCATAAAACTTTGTTTTTCTCATCGAAAACTTCCCAAAACACTCCAAATGTATCCCCAAGACTTTCAAACGATGTTTAAAGCTAATTCAAAGTTTAAGGGTAATGAAAGGTTATTACTTTACGCATAAATAACATTTAACATCTATTTTATGCAATCACCCAAAATGTACCTAAATGACTCATACACTCATACAAGTTTCCATACTACACATGCTTATCTACAAGTAGTAAGAGAAGGTTAGAAACGTGTTACCTTACACCTAGAAGCTAAAGAAAAAATCCCAAGCTCACTCAAGGACCTATTTCTCTTTGTCTATCGCTTTTGAGTTTTCACCCTCCTCTCTCACTATAAACAACAAAGGAATGTGTTATCAACTCATCTAAGAAGCTTGGGGAAGGTAAAAATGGGGTTTTAGATATAAAAATGAGCTAGAATTAGCTTAGGGTTATAAAACCCAAACCCCCACTAAACCTCTTTCATGGCTACTATAACCATTTGAAGAGAGTCTCAAAAGAAAGATCTAGGAATGAAGGTTACACCCCTTACCTTCACAAATCTGGAATGGAAATAATCGCCATAAGAGGAAGAATGAAAAAAGTTTGAATGGAGAGAAGAAGACAAAAGATGAAGGAAAAAGATGAATGAGAGTTTTTTGTGTGGGTGACTTCAAACCAATTAAATATTTTAATCTTTTAGAGACTTTTGGGGTAATTTATAACTTTGATCCTTCTAAATTTTTCTTTCATTCAAAAATCCCCTTTTTCATACTACTTGGGCCCCAAGCCAAGCCCATTCAGTTTATAATTAAATAAGAGTTTCTCACAAGCCTAAAGGGTTATTTAATTCTCTCTCGGGTTAGCCCAAAACTTCTAGCCCTGGAGTTATGGTGTTACAATCAAGTCTAGGGTGCCTAACCAAAAATATCTGAAAAGGGAAAAATTGAGGGAGTGAGCTAGGGAGCTCAATGTGTTCTAGATTCAGTAACCTAATAGAAAACTGACAGTAAGGTTTTGAGTAAAATAGCTTAGTTACCCTCAAACCGGACACCAATATACAACACCTTAGAATTGTATCCATAAGAAATTGCCTTATACTCATTTGGTATAAGAGCCAACCTAAGGGAGTACCTTAAGTCATAAGGACTTACCCTAACCGAAACATTGGAGCCCACACAAAGTGATGCGTCAGGTCCATAAGGACTTACCATATGCCCATCGGGCATAAGTTCCATCCTAAGGGGGTGGATTAGAATTCAGAAGGTCTTGCCCTAAGCCCATTTAGCCTAAGAGCCTACCCAAGGGTCACCTTAAGTCCATAAAGAATTATCAACTTGACTGGAGTTGAAACTACGGAGATTCCATATCGTATCCCAGATAGTACCCCAATAAACTAATTTTAGATAGTACTTGTAGAGTAAGGAAAACATAAATCGAACATATTTGTTTTTTCATTAAAATCAATAACTAGAGAACATGTATAAGACAATATATTTTATAATTAGTAAATCAGGAATTAGGATTTCAACCAGATAAATCATTCATATGTCAAATTTGATAAAACAATCATATTTTAAAAATAGATTAGAACAATCACGTGCACATGATAATTCAAACAAGTATTTAAAACATTTGTATCAATAACTAGAGAACATGAATAAGACAATATAATTTATAATTAGTAAATCAGGAATCAGGATTTCAACCAAATAAATCATTCATATGTCAAATTTGATAAAACAATCATATTTCAAAACTTATAACAAGCATGTGCACATGATAATTCAAACAAGTATTTAAAACATTTATACAACACAAGTAACACATCTCACAAAAAGGATCAGTCCGGGAGGCCTACTGAGAACTGACCTCATCATA